CACAGAATACTGAGCAAATCCCATGGACCAAGACTTCAGTTAAATGCTGACACAGCAGTACTGACCGGCTGAGTCTCTGGATAATGTAAACATTGTCATCCTTTATAGCACACTGTCTAGCACCCAGCGGCCACTCAGTATGTGGTTTGGAGTGAATGAAAGAGACTGCTGGGCTCTATCTCCAGTGAGCACCGACCGTTTCACTCTTGGCTTCTAAGGAGGCAAGGCCTGAGCACCTCTGTCCCTGGGATGCTGGAGATCATCTACTCTGGAGTCCAAAGGCAGCATCCTTTAGCAGAATCCGCCCTTCTGTGGAAGCCACAGCCAGGACGCCTTTTACAACTCTGCTTTCCAGTCTCCTTTGTAATATCTCTGTGCAGAGACCTGTGAGGAAGGGGTGTGTGTGTGTGTGTGTGTGTGTGTGTGTGTGATTATCTCCAGAAAATTCCACCCCAAGTCTAACTATTACTGGGGATTGTGATAACTGAGTTCTTCCCCTGCTTGACTCAACTCATGAGAAATCTTTTCCCACAAGTATGGGATATGTTCTTGGGAACTAACTACACTTTGTAAATCCTTCTTCGCTGTCTGTTCTTAGTCTGGAAGCTCCACTGAAACCTGTTCACTTTGGGTGACCCTGCTGGTATTTGAAATACCAGTGACATAGCACCCAGCATCACAGCAACACACAAGCTACCACAGTATAACAAACTGACAGACAAGTGATGGACATAGATTTTATTTATTTGGGAATGTGTTACTTTTATTCTCATTTTTGGTATGATGTTTTTTTCCCCTTGATATTGTGTTGTGGTTGACAGTTCTTTTCTTTTAGCACTTTAAAAATGTAATCCCACTTCCTTCTTGCCTACAAAGTTTCTGAAGAGAATTTTTCACTTAATCTTATCCAGGGTCCCATGTAAGTGATATTTCACTTCTCTCATGCTGTTTTTAATATATTTTAATCCTAGGTTTAAAGGAGTTGGATTGTAATATGTCTTGGAGTTACACTTTTGTGAATTATTTATTTAGACTTATGCTTTTGGGTGTACAATTTCCTATCTTTTATCATATTTTAGAATTTTCCAATGATCCTTGTCTTCAAAAATCCAGTCCCCTTCTCGCTGTCTCTTTTATTTCCATAGCTTGTAAGCTGTTCCAACAGATATTTATGGCTTTGCTAATATTTCTTAATTTAAAAATGTATATTTAAAATTTTTGCTACTCAATTTCTACCTCCTAACGGACATCTTATTCATTGTCTTGAATATCAGTACAGTGATATTATGAACAACTTGCACACAATTTTTAATGCGTGCATCAATGTCATGTAGTTACAGTTCTTCTTTGCTAAATCCTAGTAACTTTCCAGCTTGAAATTCGGAGGCACATTTTCCTTAAGAGGATATAAGAATCAATATTTTCAAATGTTGATAAGCTGTTGCATCATCTCCCCATCTCCCCCCCCCCCCTCAAACTCACTGCCACTGCGTGGATTCTGACTCATAGCAACCCTATAGGGCAAGGTTGAACTGCCCCTGTGGATTTTGGAGACCATAACTCTTCATGGGAGTAGAAAGCCTATCTTTCTCCTGAGGAGTGGCTGGTTGTTTATGACATGCTGCCCTTTCGCTTCGCAGCCCGACAGAACATAACCGCTCATAAGCCCCACACATTCACAATTTAATGTCACACTCACTACACACTCAAGTGTTCAACCTTTCACAGCACATAACAAAGTCATCGGGAACACTGGACTACCATGACCAAAGGTGCTGCAGAATGCACACAGTTCTGACAAGACAGAATTGACGAGGGATGTCTTTAAGATACAATTCTACTAAAAAACATCATGGAAACAGAATTTTTTAATTTTCAAATCATACAAATGCATGACAGTGACTTCAAATTGCCATTAGGTCTGTTTTGTTTTGATTTTTTCCATTAAGTATGTTTTGTCTTGGTGTTAGGTGCCCACAAGTCATAATTACAACAGAAAGCACTGCCTGGTCCTGGGCCATCCTCACAATTGTTCTTAGGCCCGAGTCCATCGATGCAGTCCCTGTGTCCTTCCATCATGCCGAGGGCCTTCTCTTCACTGCCCGTCTACTATACCAAGCACAATGTCCTTCTCCAGGGACTGGCCTCTCCTGATAACATGCCCCGAGTATGTGAGAGAAGTCTCGCCATTCCTGCCTATAAGGAGCATTCTGGTTGTACTTCTTCCAAGACAGATTTGGGTTTTTTGTTTTTGTTTTTTGAAGTCCATGGTAGTTCTTCACCAGCACCATATTTTGCATTAAGAATACAAAAACTCTCCCACTCTGATCCCATGGAATGGCCATGTCAGCATCCAAGACAGTCGAATGCTCCCTCAGTTCAACATTCCACTTGTTATCCCCCAAAATAAGCAACCAGTAAATAATTTCACATTAGAAAAGCATTTATAGTTAAAATGTGGGATCAGGGGATTTCCTCCATGTTAAAAATGGTTTGAATAAAACACATTTTCAAAATAGTTGATAAAACATTCCTCTGATTGTGCAATAAGGGAGATACAGGGACCACTGTGAAGACGTGGTATGGCAGCACTGATCCGAGTTGGCTTCTTTATCTTTTACTCCTGTGTCATGAGAGGCTGACTTCTGTTCATTTTCAGTTCCTCCGTTCTAAGCAGTCTCTGTAGTTTTCCCATTTCTTGGTTAGCCGCTTCAGCTTGTTTTCCCTTGGCTCCCCTTTTCCCTATTGCTTGCACTTTTCTGATGCAAAAGACTTATACGTTCCTGCTGCCTTTTTGGCTTCATGCTCCCTTTCTTTCTTTTTCTGTTTTCACTCAACTTTTTGAACACGCTTAATAATGTGAATTTCAAATCTTGGCGGGTTGAGTCCATTATCTGCCCTTCCCTTAAGGACAGTGTCCGTTCACTTATTTTTTTCTTTTGCGTAGGCCATCCTATCCCGTATCTTCATTTGCTTTGTGATTTTATTCATTGTACCTGTACATTAAACTATTTTACTGTAGTAACTCTGGAGATTGGACTATGCCCTTTCTGTAATTTTTGCTCTTCTTCCTCTGTAATAATCTTGCTAATATTATGTTAAACCATTGAAAGCTTTAGTGTACACAGACCCTGGTTTACAGATGTCTGACTTACCTAAAGCCTCTCCATCTTAACATACAACCAGTAGTTCCGAACTATCTTACAGAAAGTTTATTGTTTTAAAAATTCAAGATACACACAGTGAATTGTAATTACTTTGCAATGTGCATCAAAATATTATTATTATCACTATGCTGGAGATGTTTTGTGTCTGGAAGGTTTTTTGTTTAGGTTTTTATGCATAGAAAGATACACTACAGGAGGAGTCCTGGCGGTATAGTACTTAGCAATTGGCTGCTAAACGCAAAATCAGCAGTTCAAAACCAATAACCGCTTCACAGGAGAAAGATGAGGCTTTCTACTCCCGTAAAAAGTTTCAGCCTTGGAAACCCATTGGGGCAGTTCTACTCTGTCCTATTGGGTTTCTATGAGTCACAATGGAGGCAATGGCCATGGGTTTTGTTTGTTTGATCACAAGCATCTGAACTTTCTGACGTTAGAAGTGAACCATAGATTTGAGAACAAAATTCATTCAGAATCCAGAGATTGACCGGACACCACTTCCCCTCCAGCCTCCCAATCTTCTCTATTAGTCTCCCTGGTCATGGAGATCTCATCTCTAGATTCTCTGAGGGTGAGTGCTCACTCTATTACTTCAGCACCAAATACTATGACTTGTTGTCCTTGGTGCGGTCCCTTCAACCGCAGATGGTGGATGTGCAGACTCTATTATTCCTGTAGTAGACTCCTTCCCCCATCGAGACTAACCATACCCCTTTAGCAATGAAACAAAAGTGTAGAAATTGTTGAATGGAAAACTGGTGATCTGCTATGCAAAATTTCACCTCATTCACAATTTTACAAATGACAACTTTTGACTTGCCCTTTTATGTATCCGTGTATTTATGTGTGTTTCTCTCTTACGCTTAATGTGACGCACTCAGATGCAGGGGCTGCACTTCTCTCAGGAACTCACTGTTTTTCTCATGGCTCGAGATTGCTTCTAGAGATTGAAAAAATCCCAGAAAATTATAATGGATGCAGGGGTGCCCAGGCACTGCTCCCCCGCCACCATTTATGTCGATGCCTCCCACCCCCCACCTCCTCCACGCCAGCTCTCTCCTTGCAACCTTCATGGCTGGAAAGGTTAAAAACTGCAATTTTGTATTTATTAGGAAGAGCCAATCTACAATGAGTCCTTGTTACAAAGGAAAGCACATTCCTTTCCCCTGCCTCTGACAACCCATATTATTCCAGGGACTTAACAAAAATCCGTTTTTGTTTTTTACAGCTCCTAAATCTAGTTTTTAATATATTCTCTCCAGGATAGCTAAAGTTATGTCCTCCTATATTTTTGTCTTTTTGCCCAAATTGAAGAAAACCCCTCACAGTGCATGGAGACTTTAGCGTAAGAGGGGCCATTCCCACTCCTCGGAGCCCAGTGCGGTGCTCTGTTTTCCCAGGTAGCCTCTGGGTGCTTGCACTCAGCAACCTGAGAACAGAGTCGTGCATTCACAGCCCCCTTGTGAGGAAAACATGAAGCAATAGATGTAATGTAGCAAATTCAGGGCCTGACCTGCAGCTGGACCTCAGAGTTTCTTGAGTGTGCATAATGTAGGAACACAATGCAATGCAATAGACACAAAGTGTGGTCCACAGCCTACTCCCACTGCCCTGGGTTTGCAGATACATTATCTAGGACTCAAACCTCCCAAATCGGGCAGCAACTCTGTGGGAGGAAGGCGGATAGTTCAACAGGAAAGAGTTCCCTGGGTGAAAGCAAATTCAGGGGCCAGAAAGAACAAGAAATTAAGTCTTGCCCCCGCCCCCAGGACCTCCTCTTTGTGCTCTTTGGGAAGAGATTTCCTGTGAGGACTCCATTTTGTTCCCGCAAGCACCATGGCAAGGTGGTTTGGAGACTGCTCTCGCATTCCTCAAGAGCCTCCCTCGATCCCAGGCTCCAGCCCCCAGAGAAATTCCTGCGAGGACAGGAGTGGCATTATGGGTGAGTTCTTTAACACAGTAGGGCCTCTCAGCCCCTTCCCCAAATTCTCTCCCACCAGATACCAGTGCACCCCTAACAGAGGAAGGTGGTGAGGGCCCAGGTAACTTTTCCTTCTCCTGATAATGGGGGCCCTGAGACCCATACCACATTTCCACATAGAAACCTTCCCTTCCTTGGTTTTTTTGTCGGGGGCTGTGAAACATTCTGTCTGTTTAAGGGTGAAGGTCGGAGTCAAGTGGTTTAGAATCTGGTGAGGCTTCCCTGGGGTGGAGGTTTAGAAAATCAACATTTGGGGATTCCTACTGGGGGTGGGGGGATGGACTTGTGCCCCACCATTACCCTTGAATTTTCAAGCAACCAACATCGATTACATTACCCCATAAAAGGTTCTAGAGCTGTTTCATGACCCAGCGTACGAACTCTGTGATACTGTTAGTGGTGTCAGTGAAGTAAATAACATTCTGCTATTTAAATATTTCCATAGAACTAATTTTGGATTTGCCTGTTTATCTTTTAATGAGTCCTGGTGGCTTAATGGGTTATGAGGTGAGCTGCTAATCAAATCTACCAGCCACTTTCGGGGTGGGGTGGGGTAGGGTGTTTGTGGGGGACAAGGGGTGAAGCTTTCTGCTCCCATAAATATCTATAGCCTCAGAAACCCTATAGGGTCACTATGAGTCGGAATTGTCTGACTGACAGGGGGTTGGGTTTTTGTTTTATGTGTTACAGAGTTAAAATGTCCTCCAGTGACTTTTGATATGCCAAGTATTCCATTTTACTTCTGTCAATTTTTACTGTGTATATTTTGGCTTCTATGTTAAGAAGTGCACACAAAGAGAGAGTTATGATTATATTCTTGTAGAATTGAATCTTTTGTCACTATGAAAGCTCTCTAATCGTTTCTTGGCCTTTTGGCTAAGATCAAGTGAAAGCTCTCTAGTAGTGATTTTTTTTCTTAAGTATAATTTTTGCCTTATTGACATGGCTAGATCAAATCTTTATCTTTTGTTACTTTTAGAAATTCCTCAGCCATGATATCTTCACGATTTACTTCTCCGCTCTTTTTTCTCTTTATTTGCCAACTTCAATTCACCAAGTGTTATATTTCTTCACTATTTCATCTTTAACTCTCCTATGTTATTCTCCATTGCTTTGTCTCTCTAGGGTTAATTAGTTAATTACGTATGTTTTGCATTTTCTCCAGACCATACTTTCATTTCGGTAAATCTTTTTTCCAGGTGTGGAGCTTTCCTTTGAACCTCGGAACATAAAACCCAACATTCATGATAGATGTGATCATTCCCTTCACTCACTGCCATCAAGTGGATGCTGACTCATAGTGACCTTATAGGACAGGCTAAAATTGTCCCAGTGAGTTTCTGAGACTGTAACTCTTTACAGGAGTTGCAAGCCTCGTCTTTCTGCCAGGTAGCAGGTAGTGGTTAGCAGCCCACCACATAAGCACGATGCCAGCAGAGATCCTCTATTAGTCCTCCTCTCAAGTAGAAGAACGCCAAACTCAGTGTTCTCGGGTGGGCTAGGACACATGGACCTAGGAGAGGGTAGAACCGCCTCTGTGAGTTACAGGACAACAAGGTCTCATCCTTCTCCCTCAGAGCACTTGATGGTTTCAAGCTGCTGACTTTTCAGTTAGCAGCCCAGTGTATTAACCTCTATGGCACCAGAACGCCTCTCCTCCCTGCTACTTTGAAGGAGTCCTGCTGGTGGAGTAGCTCTGTGGTGGACTGCTCTGCTAACGACGAGGTCAGCAACTTGAAACCACCAACCATTCCAGGGGAGAAAGATGAGCCTTTCTACTCCTGTAAAGAGTTGGAGTTGGCACTGGGGTTTTGGTTGAGTTATTTTGTTTTTGAGAGTCTAAGAGGTGTTAACTAATTTATCTCTGATCACCAGATTGAGAAAGGCAGAGCAAGGACTTGTCATCTCAAAATGAGCCCTTTGTTCTCTTCCTGGGCTTTGAACACTACCTACTCCTCATATCTTCGTAGTAGTGAACTCTGCTTTTTTTGTGTGTGTGTAAACTATACAAATCGGGGATCTGTGTTTACTTTTCATGATATTTTCTTTGGACTTTTTCTGATAGGGACCATTCATATGTTGTTCCCAGATTCAGGGGCCGATCGCCAAAGTGATTCTTCCCCAAGAACATCAAGACGCTGGTTTATTCCTAGAAGACCATATGATGGACAAGTCAGGCCTGCCGTCTATCCATCATCCTGTCAGGAGAACAATGAAGCCATGGAACTTACTGGTGTCAAAATTGGCCCTAGAATAAGATAGTAAGTGACAGTGGCCTTGTGGTGTGCATGAGCCAGTAGAACATGTTATGCTGTATTTGACTCAGTCCTTATTCTCTCCAACCTGGTAAAATGAGGAATGCTAGAAACAGATTAAAGGTTGAATATGCAATATTATAGCCTTAATATACGTGGGGAATAGTGTTATTAAACGTTCTTGGTATTTTCAGATGGCTTTTTTTCTCTCTACATCCCCACAGCACCCCTTATGGCATTGCAAGGTTCCGTCGGAGAGACAGTACTCATAAAGGGGACCCAACCCAAGGTAATGTAGAGAGAGAGACCAAATCTTCTGAGGAAGGAATGAAGGGGAACAGACTGGATGGAACCAACAGGAAATCCCTCAGAGTCAGAGTGAGTGTCCTGGCAAAATATGAACCTAATACGTAAGGGAGTCAGGTTGGTTGGAGTTGTGTTGATCTCATGTGGAGATACTGGGCACTTTTCTGGGGCACAGGGAGTCAATAATGTGTGGGCTTTATTACTACATGGTAACAACCTCAATTCGTCTAAAGGTAGGTTAGGAGAAGTAATTAAAAGGGAACAGACATGTCAACAAAGGCGTAAACAATTCATAAACAGATGGACAACTCTCCAGTGCATGACTCAATTTGAGGTGTTCAAAATGAGGTGTTCAAAGAGAGGAGACGGATGAGGCCAAGTCGCTGGATTCTTTACTGGAGCGATTTGCGGGTTTGCACTAAGTAGAATCTTTGGGGACCTTTTGAAATAAATATCTTAAAGACATTGATTTAATTATTTGGTTTATAATGCGCATGTACAGAAAGGGTATTTAGGAAACCCGGGTCTGGTCGTGGACATGGGTCTATGTTTTAACATCGTGGTAAAGGACTAAAAAGAATACACGTGTTCATTTCCATCATGTCATTTTCTTCTCTGACCCTTTCTTTTGGTTCGAGGTTCCATTACGTGTACCATATGATGAGAAAGTTCTGTTGGATCTGAGCCAGGGAGAACGTAAAGGCCCCTTCACCGCGGGCAAGGTGAGAGAGAAGAGGGAAGCAATTGAGTGGACACAGGGCAGAGGGAGAGTGGGCTGAGCAGGGAGTTGACCTCATGCTGTGCTGGTCTTGCTCCTCTCCCTGAGAGAATGTAGCCCAACCCACACCCACACCCCTGTTTTGTTGGTGAAAATGCTGGTATTGGGTTTGCATTGAAGAATGTCAGTGGCAAGACTTAGTATGAGAATCACAATAGGGTGTATGCCAGACCATGGCCAGCATTAACTAAGGGCAAGAGGGTAGGCTAGTGTGTGTCTTGCTTGATATTCGTTTTCAGAGGTCCTAGTACAAATCCAGACGTTTTTGTCTTTTCTGCAGGTAGCTATCCCTGAAATCCCCTTGAGAGGTCCCAGTGCTGCGCCGAAGGAGGTGATCTCAAAATATATTGAACCGATGAAGGTAATATAGTCTAAAGACGTGTGCCTACACCCAGGCCCACCCCCACTTTTTTCCTCATTGAATGCTTCTTCATCACCTCAGTCAAAAGACACTGACTCCTGTTTCTACCTTAGCAGGTGAGCAAGATGAAACAAGATGTTCACCAGGAACGAGATGATATCCAAGTTTGTGAACTCCTGAGATGCCACTCAGACCCAGGTATATCTGGCAGCAATAATTCTACGTCAGATGATGGCAGAGGTGTCATCCTGGGAGGGAGAGTTAGAGGATATCTTCTGGAGGGCTTGGTGTTGGGGCTGGCCCAGCTGAACTCCTCTCACCCCTCTGTTTCTCTCCTCTTGGTTTGCTGAAGGTGTGATGGCCAATGACCCCCAATTGGGGCCAAATCTTAAAAGTGAGCTGGGTGACTCCCTGCCGATCAGCGATGGGGAAATGCCCACGGTGAGGCTGTAGGCCCAGTATTGAGGGGGAGGGAGGGACCGAGGGGCTGGAGGACAGATGTCTCCCAGATAGCCCCTATGGGGACCTTCACTCAAACTTCCTGCACCACAGGTTTTGTCCTTCAACTCAGTTGGCCGCCCCAGCACCATACAGGAGGCCCCTGAATTCAACAGCCTGGATCTCTCAAAAAAACAGGTGAGGAGCGGTAGCCAGAGAACGCTGAAGGGAAGCAGGTAGGGTGACAAATGGACAGGTAAGGTGATCTGTGGGAGAGGGGGGCCCTGGGGGGATGCAGGATTTGTCTTGATTTCTCATGGATTTATGTGGCCTCCTCGTAGTTACGGGCACAGGGTGAAGGGATGTTGGACAAGGTGAACGAGCCGGCGCCAGGAGAGATGTGTGCAGAGAGAAAGCCTCTGGGCACCACCTTCCCAGATGAGCCCACCAACGTAAGGTCAGTTGTACCCTCTGTTGCCTCCATCGGCAGGAGATTGCAGCCCTGGTTTGCTGGGAGGACCACACGCCTTGTCCTCTCCAAACGGTCGGTCACCCGTGGGAGAGGCTGGCCTCCACTTGCTGGGTCTTTGCCACGGGGAAGGGGGTCTGGGCGCTTCCCAGGAGGAAGAAAAGTGGGAGAGGGCT